CAGATGATGAGGTCCTTTACATTTCAGATGAAGGATCAGATTCACAAACACTATACGAGCGACTAATTGCAAACTATGGGTGCTTGTTCTTCAATGAGATTGCAGCTTACATCTTTAGTAAACCCTCGTTAACATGAACTCCAAGGCACCGAAAAGAAAATTACGCGTTAAACGAAATCGGTACTAACCTGAGACTGCAATTTTAGTGTTGCAAATTTATAGATAAATTAGCACTCGATGAGTGATGCGACCAGCATCACGTCGGCCGCCTGTACTTCTCAGGTCTTCTCCTGATACCCATGTTAGACTGGGTCAACATTGGAGCCAAGGTTATGTTAAAAGAAATAAATCCGTCTAGGTGCGGAACTGAATCGACAACCTTCATCTATCTCACTGGGTCTTGTGGCGAAGTGGTCAAACAGCTTTCCTCGCGCTCTAAAGGTCGTGGGTTCGTTTAACAACTGCGTTCTTCAGGGATCTTTAGGGATCGGGCTCTATGCGGCAGGCGGCTAGCTGTTCTGCGGAGAGAGACCAAGCCATATGAGATCAAACCCTGTGCAATGAAATTGCTCCTCTGGATTTCAACTGTTTTTTATTTTAACCTCTAACTGGTCTCCAACCTTTTTCAGGTGACGCCAGCATGAAGAACAGGACCAGACACGCCCCTCCCGCAGCCCCCCCCCCCCCCCCCTCCCCTTTTCCAACCCAAACATTTAAACAAATAAAGTTAAAAAAAAAGAAGAGGTGTGTGTGTGTGTTTAACCTACATTTAAATACACGAGTTATCGTATTAATTAGATTTTTAACGGTAATGCTGCTCAGGAAAACAAATACGTTTTGGTTTGTTTGTTTGTTTGTTTGTTTTACAAATGGGGTAAAGTGTTTTTAATTTATAATCATACTGAAGCAAAAAAGGTTAACATAACAGACAATTACAAGTACGAAGGAACTCATTTGCAAAACTGCTTGACGCACACCTTTTCCCTGAACTTCCTCATGCCTCCCTACAGCGAGGTATTGGGAGGAAATGTAAGGATCGTTTGTGCGTTTTTTTCCAATGCACTGTACAAGCTGGCGTTAATTTCTGTTAGGTTGTTCCTGATAATGTCACTTCATATCTTGCCTGGTTTTCCCTTTGCTCTGTCTATATTAGGTTTATACAGCGTGGCTCTCTGTGGCAGTTGGTAACCGGGCATTGTCGTCAGGTGGCAAATCTTTTCATTTGTTGTTATTTAATGAATAGTATGACTTTTTTTTCTTATGACCTAATTCCATATTTATTTTGTAGTTTGTTGTGACTGACCATGCTTGGCACTAACAGCATAGGATGGAAATGAATATCCTTTGTATAAGATGATTCTTTGTGCTGATAGAGATTGTCTTACGCTGTAAGCGTGGTGTTAAATTCCTCTCCGATAAAAATCAGTTCACACAAATTACATCAAACGAAAGAATAAACGAATATATTCTTTTTTGCCCAGTTAAGAATTGTATACGTAGGCGTTACATCCGTAATTGAAGTTTTGCAACTGTGTAACTTTCCAGTAAAACGCTATTAATGTGGGGGAAACCCCAGTCTCGAGGATTCAACACGTTCTTCTTGTGCTGGTAACAGGATACGTTACTCATTGGTCGCTCACATAAAAAAATATAATAATTCCCGAAAAAAAGCCACAAGTATTTAATATATCAAACAGTGAGTCTTATTATGTGTAGGAGATATGTACCAAGTACTTCATTTTGTTACCGTAGAGCGCACGGTATGAGGAAAATATGGACAGTTTGAAGAACACACATCACTGATCTAAATTTCCCCAGTATCATTTGTTGTCAAGATGATCTCTCACAGCTTGTGATAGTTGTGTGTACAACGAATAACCACTAGGAAGTGGCCATTTCAGTAATTCTACAGAGCTGCTGCAAAAACTGCCCCTTGGAGAAACGTTCAAAAGGTAATAACTTTTTAAATAAAGTTTCAGTCCTCTACATATAAGACACGGGCTTTAACTAGATAAAAGAAACTTGGCATACTTTCAATGGTTGTTTCATGCATTGATTACTTGTACCGTTTGCAGAAGACAAGACTTTCATTTACTATACATATCTGATATTTATTTTATGTGTCAATATCTTTCTTTTTTTTTGGTGAAAATAAAAAGAAGAAGAGGGAGAGGAGGTGGAAGAGGATGAAGGATGAAAAAGAAAAAGGAGGAGGAGGAGAACGAGCAGTAGCCGCAGCAGCAGCACCAGCAGCAGCAAAGGAGAAAAATAATAATAAGAAGAGAAGAAAAAGAAGAAGAGGAAGAAGAAGAAGACGAAGAAGAAGAAGATGTTGATGATGAAAAAGAAGAAGATGTTGATGATGAAAAAGAAGAAGAAGAAGAAGAAGAAGAAGAAGAAGAAGAAGAAGAAGAAGAAGAAGAAGAAGAAGAAGAAGAAGAAGAAGAAGAAGAAGAAGAAGAAGAAGAAGAAGAAGAAGAAGAAGAAGAAGAAGAAGAAGAAGAAGAAGAAGAAGAAGAAGAAGAAGAAGAAGAAGAAAAAGAAAAAGAAGAAGAAAGCTTAATATAGGCATAAAATGTGAGGGGAAAAATTAAAGTTGATACATGGACAATTAATACCTCTAAAATCTAAGATAAGAACGAAAGTAAAGAGAAAACGTTCAATGTGCTTGGCTGAACTACATAACAAGCACCAAATGACATAGACGAAAAAATGTATGGAAGAAATTATGAGAGTTAGGGTAATATAACACAAAGACAGTGGCATGAACAGTTACAGAAAAGAAACATAATACATCACAGACAGTGCCACAAGCAATAACAATAAAAAAAAAAAAATTCCAAACTATAACAGATTAATCTAGTCCTGTAAGTCGTCGACACTGACTTTTAATGGCTTAAAAACATACTGGCCTGACATACGAAATTAAACTAAGCTGTCAGTTCTATACTATACTAACTGTCACAAACCCTTCATGCCTCACTCTTTTTTTCTCTGCCTTTCAACTAAGTTGCCCTAATGTACACCGATGCGCAAACATGCGTCTTTTAAAACAATGCTACAAAAACAGTCGTACACCAGTGTCTCTCTCTCTCTCTCTCTCTGTCTCTAAGTCCATCTCTGTCTCTATGACTCTCTCTCTCTGAATATATGTCTCTCTCTGTCTCTTTCTGTCTTTGTCTATCTCTCTCTGCCTCTCTGTCTTGCTCTCCGTCTCTCTCTGTGCCTCTTTCAGTCTCCCTCTGTCTCTGCCTCCCTCTTTGACTCTCTCTCTGCCTCTCTGTCTGTCTTTCAGGGGAACCCTTGACCATCAACCACACTTGAAAACATAGCATCAGAAGTGACCATGCTGAAATCACTCAATGAAAAAATAACCTTAGTCATCAGAAATCTAATGTTACATTCGACTAGTTAACAGATTAACCCCCCCCCCCCCCCCCCCCCCCACACACACACACTTCAGTGAAATAATTACTTTAGTCATCAGAAATCTAATGTTACATCTGACTAGTTAACATGTTAGTTCCCCCCCCCCCCCCCCCCCCCACTCAATGAAATAATAACCTTGGTCATGAGAAATCTGTTACTTCAGAATAGTTAACAGGTTAGTCCCCCCCCCCACTCAATGAAATAATAACCTTAGTCATCTGAGATCCAATGTTACATCTGACTAGTTAACAGGTTAGTCCCCCCCCCCCCCCCCCCCAATCAATGAAATAATAACCTTGGTCATGAGAAATCTGTTACTTCTGAATAGTTAACAGGTTAGTCCCCGCCCCCCCCCCCGCCCCTTTTTTCTTTTAACCTCTTTGAAGTCTTGTTTTCGAATCCGCATAGAGTTGAATTTAATATACTCAAAATTGACTTAGCTTACAGGTCAACCCAGCCTAGAATGGGTACAAGGAGAGATTATCTGAAGTAAAGGCGATCTGCATGAACATGTCCCCCACCAAGTGCTGCTGGTCTATACAAATATAAGTTTAGCATCATATGCCTGATGCACTCACATCCTCTGCCCCAGAATACAACCTGAAAGTTTCACAACCAGTCACTTAGAGCGCCAATGATAGGATGCAAATCCAAAAAGCTAACATTCAAAACTTTCCATTTAACCCTATACAAGCAAGTTATACTGTAGCAGTCCACTGTAGTGGTGTACGAAGTTTTTGTAATGCCCTGGTACAACTGCCACAGAAAAGGGGGAGGGGGCGGGGGTAGCTTTAAAGTTGTATAATTAAATTACCAATTCTAATAGAATTACCTCATCTTTGTTTGAAGTCTTATCAATTCATCTCCTTAGCTTCAAAAGAAAAAAAAAATTCACTCAGCTACCAACAGCGTATGTAAAAAAAAAAAAAAAAGCCACTCAGATACCAACAGCGTATGCAGAAATGAAAAAGTCACTCAGATACCAATAGCGAATTTAGAAAAAAAAAAAGTCACTTAGATACCAACAGCGTATGAAGAAAAGAACAAATCACTCAGATTGCAACAGCGTATATAGACCCCTCCCCCTATTTACCCCCCCCCCTCCCCCCAAATGTCACGCAGATACCAACAGCGTATGTAGAACAAAAACTTTCTCATCTAATAACAGCATACATAGAAAAAAAATGTCACTCAGATACCAACAGCGTATGTAGAACACAAAAGAATCCCAGGTACAAACAGAATACATATAAAAAATGTCACTAAACTGCCAACAGCGTATAAATTAAAAAAAAAAAAATATATATATATATATATATATATATATATATATATATATATATATATATATATATATATATATATATATATATATATATATAGAAACTGACATCTGCATAACCGCTTTTAATTTCCCACAATTTTGCCAGTCCAATATTTCACCTAATATTATTGGACGTATGTGCCTTGAAGACAGACAATTGTGTATTGTTTTCTTCTTTTGTCAAACAACATATCAATCTTTGTCAATATTTGTTTTCTTTAAAGATTCAAACCTACGACCCGGCACTATGACTTTGCCGTTGTGTACATGTATTCCTCATCGTTATTTGGTAGTCACCTTTTGCTTTGTCATCACGTTGATCACCATTGGCTATCGTGCTTGCTTCGCTCTGATGGCCACACACATCTCGTTCTACAATTCCACGGACAGTAAAGCAGCATCTACAAATGAAGATTCTATTTTTCCAAATGTAAGTATGTATGGGTGTCAATATCCACTGCATATCGCTGGGACTTTTTGGTGGATACTAATTTCATTTCTGCACAAACACACACACGAAAACACACACAACACACTCGAAAACAGGCGCTCGAGCACACACACACAAGTGTAAATATGCATATATATTTATTTAATTATCATCATCAGGTGCCTTGCAGACTAGCGTGGGCGATAACGCCTCTCCATAATCTGCGATCTCCTGCAGCATGTATCAGTTCGTGTGCCGACACACCTCCATGCCATAAAATAAGACTGTCAAGAATCTTCTCTCGTTGTCTTATTCTATCCCTCCTTCCACATATCTTTCCAGTGGTCACAACATGTTCTATTTTCCCTCTTCTCAATACATGGCCCAAAAAAAAAATGATGACTGTCTCCTTCAGATGTCTGTGATAAGTTGTCTTCGGGCTCCCACCTCTTTCAAAACCTCTTGGTTGCTCTTTTTGGCTGTCCAAGGTATTCTACTCATTCTTCTGTAAAGCCACATCTCTGAAGTCTCAAGAAATTGTTTGGCCTGCCTACCGATTGTCCAGGATTCACAGCCATATGTTAAAACTGGATGTATGTAAAAAGCAAAAATTCTTTTTCTAACTCTCAATGACAAAGATATATTGCATAAGATATTCTTCATTTTATAAAATGCAATTTTTGCCTGTTCTATTCTGTTTCTTATCTCAGTTATGCATCTTCCATCTGATGTTATCCATGTGCCCAGATACTTACATTTCTGTACTTGTCCCAAAATAACACCATCGACTTTTATTTCACATTTAGGAATAATTGGTTTCTTTGATACCACAATTTCTTCTGTCTTTCCATTATTCAAAATAAGACCCATTGTTCCACTTTCTAACACCACAATGTCTATCATTTCCTGTAGTTCTTTCTGACTTGTTGCTATCAAGACTGTGTCATCAGCATAACGTAAACTGTTTATATTGTACCCACCAACCACAATTCCTGGAATATCAATTAAGGATCTCATTATATATTCACTGTATAGTGTAAACAAATCAGGTGACAGAACACATCCTTGTCGTACGCCCCTTTTGAAATGTACTTAAACAGTTGTTAATTCTTATAGCTGCTGTTTGCTGCCAATACACATTCTTTATTATTCGTAGATCTTTACAGTCAATGATTACCTCTTCATGCTTCACACAGTCAAATGCTTTTGTATAGTCTATGAAGTATAAGTACAAATCAGTCTTTACTTCTATAGCGCTTTCTGACAATGTCCTTAGGATGTATATGGCATTGTTTGTACCTTTTCCTTCTACAAATCCACATTGTTCATCGCTGATGTCTGGTTTACTTTTGTTTCTTATTCTTGTCATTATTCTCAGAAAAATCTTAGTCATGTGATTCATAAGACTTATTGTGCGATGGTCTTCACATTTTAAAGTGCGTAGTTTCTTTGGCAGAGCTATAAATAATAATTTTAAAAGGTCATTTAGAATATACCTCCTATTATAAATATAATTTGAAAGTTTAATTATTATTTCAATTCCAAAATCTCCCTGTGCTTCGATTTATTCCAGTGAGATGTTGTCTGGCCTGGGTGCTTTTCCTTTCTTCATATGACGTATTGCATCATCAACTTCTGCAGTCATTATTGGTAGACCATCATTGTTGTTCTGCAGTTCTATATCTGGCGTATCATCATCATACAATTCCCCTACATACTCTGTCCATCTGTTAATTATATTACTGTGTCTTATTTATAAGTCACTATTTTTTTTTTATTTTAAACATTCAGTGCTGTTACGTGTCATCTTTCCTGTTAACATATTTATTTGTTGGTACATGGAATGTGAGTCTTTTCTGTGATTTTCCCCAACCTCTGTACACATTTTTTGCAGCCAGGCTTCTTTGGCCACTTTGCATTTGTTCGCTAATTCTTTTTGTATTCTAGAGTATTCCTTCTTTCATCCAACACTTACAGAATTTCGGTTGACATCCATTTCTTTTTTTGCAACGCTATGGGTTGATGGGATTGTATCTTTTGATGTCTGCTGAATTGACTCACGCAACATATACCACTGTTCATCAATAGTCTGATAATTTCCATTATACCGGTTTTGTACAGTGACATTGTACTCTTCCTTAATTTCTTTATCCGTTCTAAGCATTCCTAAATTTAACTTGATGTTCTGTGATGTTTTCTTAATATTCTTTAGTTTTATTCTAATCTTTCCTATAATTGGAACATGATCACTAAAGCAGTCTGCTCCTGGTCTAGTTTTTGCTCCAACTAAACTGCTCCAGAATCTTCTTGAAATCAAACTATAATCAATCTGATTGCGGACATTATCGCCAGGACTTTTCCAATTCCACAATCTTCGAGGATGGTGTTTAAACCAGGTGTTACCTATTATAATGCTGTCCGACTCAGCCCATGTTATTAATCTGTCACCTCTCACATTCTTTTCACCTAGGCCATAGCCACCCGTTATTCTGTACACTTTTTCACTTCCTATTTTCGCGTTGAAATCTCCAAGTACCATTGTTACTTCACAATTTTTGCATTGATTAACAGCCATGATTAACTCGTCATAAAATGCGTCAATATCTTCCTCTGAACCATCTGCTGTTGGGGCATAAATCTGTACTGTTGATGTCAAACGGTCTGCCGTGAAGTTTTACTAATATTACTCTATCTGATATTGTCCGAAATACTTTCACAGTTTTTGAGTTCTTTGTATCCAAAATAACACCAACTCCCTTACTATAATTTTTTCCACCTGAGTAAATAATTATGTGCTGATCTGAATACTTTTCCCTTGCCCCTGTCCATTGCATTTCACTAATTCCTAATATGTTGATGTTCATTCTCTTTATTTCCGTCTTGATGTTATCTAACTTTCCGTTTTGTACGAGTGTTCTGACATTCCATGTACCAATGTTCAGGATGTTTCTACCACTTTCTGCAGTAGCTTAATGACGGTCGGGTATCACCTGTAGAACATGATGCTTCCTACTGGACGAGGTGATTCCTCTGGAATCCCCATTCACGTCGTTCTCTGAATTCATAAGATTTTGAGGCATGATTTACTAGAGATAATACAGCGGTGGTTTCCCCTCGCTTTCCGCCGGTTTGTATATGGTTTGACTCTAATAGCCTCTGTCTAAAGAGACTTACCCTGCAAGGTAGCAGGGGGTCAAGGTTATGGCGCTTCTTACCCGCCGATCGCCATGTCGTAGAGTTTTGAAGTATTTTATAGAGTTAGCTGTCCCACCAACTAACTCGCCTCCTCTCAATGACCATCACCTGTTTTGGTCCACGGCCACTTATTCAATATATTCGTGGCTAACCTCTATATCTAGAGGCCTTTCCACCATCCGTCACCTGGTGGACGCGCCTAGTAGCAGGACAGGCTCCTACCTCAAGATATATATATACATACACACACACACACACACTCTCACATGCTTGTATGTATGTGATAAGGATATTTTGACTACATTTATGAACGTAAACTGGATTTATATACATATTTTTTAAAAAGGACTGGTTTAATTTCGTTGATCTAGGCACTATCGTAGCAACCAAATGTTGGGACTTCACGGAACAACATGTTTTAAATCAGGAAAGGGTGGGGTGAGTGGGGTGGGGGAGGGGAGGGGGGCCTTAGACAGGTATGCTTAGGGCAGAGTTCAAGCAACGTTTTAGAGGTCCCGGGTACTTCACGTCCTTTAAATATTTTCTCCAAGGTACGTGGATGTATTTTGAAATGAACAGACATATAATTGGCTGTTTCTACACAATTTGGTGGTAAATTGACGCATGACAAGCTAGATAGTGTGAGAGCGGATGATTAAATAGAACATCACTTTAAAAAAAAAAATATGGTGAAGCGAGTAGTGACCAGGGAAACTGGCAGGCGCTCAACGTTCAGATGAAGGGGCAAGACGAGCGTATAATCAGACTATTGCTGATACTGTCAGAATTGGAACTCTGTGCTTGCTGCTGCAGATGGGTACGAGGCGCTTATGAGAGTGTCCCGACTGCTATGATATCGGTTCGCAACTTATAACATCGTTGCAAAATACAAATGAATGATGCAGGCTTCATTTCGTCCCATAAAATATTTCTCTTAAAGCCATGGTGTAAGGTTGGGTGGACCACGGAGCCGAGCTTGTTTAAATAAAATGTGGTCCGGCTCTCTAGCGAAGTTGGTTAAACCTGACTTTCGCGGCCGCCGGGTGACGAACTCCTTGTGGTCCGGGTTCACTCCCGGGGGTAGGCAGAAAAGCCACATTTCTCCCAGATTAACTGTACCTATAATGGAATCAAGGCCGAAGGGTTGCGATATCCATAGTACCGAGCCAAAGGGTTTACAACTCATGGTTTCTGGATACGTTAAAAAAAAAAATGTGAATAGGAGAAGTAAGCAGTAAAAAAAAAATAAAAAAAAAAAAAGGGGGGGGGGAGGGAGGAGGCGGAGAGGGAGTTGACACGGTGCAGATCGCCCTGGGTATAATAAGTGAATTTGGCAACAAAATGGCAACAATATATGTTTATATATATTTAAACATATATTTTTGCCATTTTGTTGCCCCATATATATATATATATATATATATATATTTATATATATATATATATATATATATATATATATATATATATTTATATATTCATACACATATTTAAACACAAAAGGGGGGGGGGAATGTGAAAATTTTCCATAACGTGTACCACTTGACCATGCTAAGCCACTGCGTTGAGGTACACATACACACACAAACACACACACACACACACACACACACACACACACACACATACATATATATATATATACATATATGAATGTATGTATATTTATGTATGTAAACAATGTTGGTTTTGCCTGTATATTATACCCCCTCCCCTTTTCCCCCACCTCTTTTACTGTCGTGGAAGCATCGCCTGTTCTATTCTTTCTGTCATCACCATTTGTGTATTTCCAGTGTACAGCAACAGGAGGGTCACGTTCAAAAGTGGTCTACTGGAGCGGATCTACGGTGTCCTTGTTTCACACAGCTTATTTTGCTGGCCAGTTTGTGATGTCTGTCCCTGCAGGAGCATTAGTTATGAAATTTTCACCCAAACGGTAAATATATATTAAAAAATATAAATTTCTGTTGGTTGTAATAGCTAACTTCCTTAAGTTCTTCACCGATTGTTTCAAATGTTCACACACAGGTGTATTCGAGTGCGTGCGTGTTTTTATGTAAGAGAGTCGCACAAACCAGGAACTACATAGCTACAGCAACGACCACGTCGGTTTTTGTTTCGTTACCGGCCCGAAATTATTTTTAGTAGGCGACCTTTGACTATTGACCTCAGACCTCTGCATGAAGCTACGCCCAAAAGTCATTACTGATTACATTGAAATTTTCATACAACGTTGCATTTGAATACGGAAGTGTTTTTATAAGAGAGTGTTGCGCAATGCATGAACTATATAGCTCCATCGAAGATAACATCAGAATCTTGGTTTTGTTTTCCGACGATCCGATTTATTTTTCTTCTTTACCTCGTTCACGACGCAAGTTATTATTTACGCTGATAGGCGAACTTTGACTATTGACCTCAGGAATCTGCATGAAGCTGGGCGTTATAGTATCGAAAAGTTGTTGACAGAGTGTATGGAAATGTTAAGGTGTAGGCATTTCTTCGGCAAGGGAGAAAGGATAGGCGATGCATTTAGGAGGAAAAGGGGTAATGAGAGAAACTGTTAACTGAGAGAGCCTAAAGTTCACTTTAGTCTGGGTGGATACTGATGCCAGGGTCAACTAAAATCGTCAGGTGTGAGGTGTGTGTGTGTGTGTGTGTGGGGGGGGGGGGGTTAGAGTCGGCAAATCATACTATATGTATATCTGTGTAGAAAACGATTGTGATATTAACCATTAGACAAGTGCGCGTTCTATTTTTTCTTTCTTTACAATTTCGCCAGACTGAGCCACAGCAAAGCATGGCGGGTACTGCTAGTACTTAGATAAAAACAGGGAACACATATTTTGTAATCAAATAATTCAGGATGGCAGATAATTTTTCACTAATTTACTATTGGGGGTAATTACACTTAATCAAATGCACAATAATGGCAGTATGAAGTTTTTATTGATAGTTCTTATTTCTACTGGAGTTAAACTGGAAATTTCAACAACAACTACAACAAATGAAGAAAATAAGTGAATCCTTTAAAACTGAAGTACAAATTCAACAACGATCAAACAATACTGTCTGTTTTTATCAGGGCAGCCGTAAAGTAAGGACTAAATCTTTTTGTATTCAGAGTTTTTGACGCAGGTGACGAATTGGGGAAGCTTCAATAAATCTTAGAGTTTCGCCACTGGTTGACGTATGAAGGACTTAAAATGCGTTGTCTTTAGTTACCACGTGTCCAAATTTTGAAAGATTTTTCTGAAACAACAACAACAAAAACAACAACAACAACAGAAACAACAACAACAACAACTACTACTACTACTGCTGCTACTACTACTACTACTACTACTACTACTACTACTACTACTACTACTACTACTACTACTACTACTACTACTACTACTACTACTACTACTACTACTACTACTACCACTACTACTACTATAACTACTACAACTACTATTACTACTACTATTGCTGCTTCTGTTGCTGCTACTTTTCATAAATTATTACTATTTTTACAGTTACTGATGCCACTGTTACTACAACTATCGCCTTTAGTCAATAACTTTAAGAAAGCCGCGGTAATGTAGCGGTAATACGCTGGCCTCCTATCTGAAGGTCTTGGATTCAAATCAGTCTTGAGTCAGATATGTTTCAAAAGCGATCTTGGCTTCCAGCCTGAAATCGGTACCAGCTCATGTCCTGGGAGATAAAGGCAGCTGGAGTGATGCTGAACACACCACCCATCGAATGTCCAGGTTCTTAATTTATAACGTACCCCAAACATGAAATCCCCGTTGGAAATCCACAGCTGACCTGACAGTCCATTATTTCAAAGGGTGCAAGTGTGCTGTTGTTTGTGTTGTTTTTTTTTTTTTTTGGAGTGTTCATCTAGTGTCTTCTAATCCTAACCCTAACCCTAACCCTAACCCTAAACTTGGCTGTAGATAAATCGCGAGAAACTACAACCTGAAAACCCTAGAATTTATTGGGATTGTCTCCCGTGACGTCAGGGGTAAGTTATAAATTAAGTACCAATGCCCATTAGTGTATAAAATATGAGTCGAGCATCTTTGCCCTATGCGCCTCGACCTTTAGTAAAGTAAAGTGCAGGTCCCTTTTCTGCGCCCTTAGGCGTATTGGAAATATATGGCTAGACCTATATTTGTATAGACCCGTCGACACTCTGTGGGTGATGTGGTCAGCCTTTACTTCCCAAAAATGCAAGTGGTACTCACTAATGACTGGGTCGACCTGGGAGTCAAGGTGATTATTTAAAAAAGTCCGTCAGGACGCGAACCCGCGACCTTCCGATCCGCAGGTGAGCGTCTAGCCGCCAAATCCACGGCGACTCCCAATAAGGCTCCTTTACTTTACACAATTCCTTTTATTGTTATTGTTATTATTATTATTATTATTATTATTATTATTATTATTATTATTATTATTATTATTTTTAATATTATTATTATTATTACCGCTGGATATACCATGTTTGGAACAGATTATTTGGTCTGACATTGCTGGCTTCCAGCGTCTTACAGCTTTTACTGCCTGTAGCTACAGACGTTCACGACTGGCTCACTTTCGTCATCAGAACAGTCCAGGGCATGCTGGAGGTTTGTTGTCTTTCAAAGCGCATTTTTTAAAAATGACGTGAATTTTAAAGAAAAACACACATCTGTATTATATATTATCACACAATTATAAAAGTATCCCCCCTCTGAGATACGGAGTGTGTACTTTATGCGACATATTCCCATCAAGGGGCTAGCTGTTCTGCTTGGAAAACCCGAGGTATCTTGGATGACGCCCGCTACAGTGAAGTAGCGCTAGTGCCGATTTCCTGGAATCTCCGCACATTATTGAGCTCATGACCCAAACAATATTGTCATTCAAAGTGCGAGACAAACAGCTTGTTTGCTTCGCCATTGAGGTATGTTGTTGTCTGCCGTAATGAAACAAAAAAGAACTGTTAAAAAAAAAAAAAGAGAATGCTTTGGTGTATATCATCTCAGGTATTTGAAGTGAAGCGACTTTATGCAGTGTAGACCAGATAAGGATAACTCGCTGGGAACCTAACAAATTGTTTTTCTTATCAGAAATTGCCACGGATATTGTTTTTCACAACAGAAATTCACCATATACGACATCGCCTTAAGCGACATGGACTGTATTATCTATTTTAGACAATATAGTCTACCACAGTTGCCTTTTTGAATGTTAAGTGATGAGGTCCTAATCTCTTCCACAGTGTGATTCTCGCACTATTAACCGAAAACCACGAGAGCTGTACCCCCCTCCCCCCCCCCCCCCCCCCCCCCCCCCCGGTCCCATTACCCATCTACCATAGGAAACAAATTCTATTACTGGATGATCGTGAAACAGTTAACCGCATTCACTTACCTGTTGAGAGCTTATGTTATAAATGTGCATCACTATTATCACACAAAACTAATTATATTCTATTCTATTAGTCTTCGTCTTAGTCGAGATTTCGACTTTACTGCAATCGGATCACCCCATACTTGCTCCCCTTCGTGTGCCAACGAAAATCAAGTGAAATGTCCCCCACTGTCCAGTTAAAAAACTGGCGAACACACAATTAGTCCAGGCACATTGAGAAATATACGCACGCAGTAAATGCACGAGGCAGTTGCCAGAGTCGCCAAAGCCAACAGTCGCCACCAGAAATGCACTTAGACGTTGATGAAAAGAGTCGGTCATTATAAGTTGGCTATACACACATGAAATTGATATTCTATTCTATAGTATTATGTATGTATAAATGGACTGATAACAGACAAAGATATCCCATTACTTTCGACCATAGGCTGCTTCTATCCCTGCCATGAATGCTGTAATCTCCGCCTGGGCTCCAAAGACTGAGAAAGCTCGACTCATCAATATTGCCTATTCTGGTACTTTGTGTTGTGACTTTTTAAAAATCAAGGACGTGACATAACAATATGCATGTGCTTAATTATATGTTAATATAATCTACGTAAAACAATTCTCACATGCTATGTTTCTTGAGGCCTCGAAAATGTGATTTTATAGAAGAATTCTCAAAATTATTTGGACGGTCAAAAAGAGCAGCACAGACATTTTAAAAGAGGCGATGGTTTAAAAACAACTGATCACAAACATCAGAAATAGAGTCATCATATTTTAATCATATTATGAGAAAACAGAAACTGAGACATGCTGTGACCGCCGGAAAGATCTGTGGGGAAAAAAGACACAGGAAGATAATGGCATGGAGGAGTTTGAGCACCCGAACTGATAAATGATGCTGAAGATCACAGACTGTGGATTGGCTTGATCGCTTTTTTTGTGTGTCTGCTTTGTCCCCTTTATATTCTATCGTTATTGTTAATCAATAGAGTTGACAGCCAATAATTTATGAAATGAACAGTTGCCCCCAAACTTAACGAGGCTGGCCACCAGTGAGTCATAGGGACGCCGAAATGTCAGTCCATTATCTATAAATCTTTTCCGTAGCATCGATTGCCACAGTGATGTAAATGTTTTGTCCCTGTTTACGACATAAGTGCGACCTTTGTGCCTTTGGGCTGACACATTCCATTTTTCGGGCATTTGTTACTGAGTTAACCTTCCCATTACACCTGTAAATGACAACTTCGCCTCGATGTTAGTTACTGCAGCCAGTTAGAAATTCTAAAGAGGTCTTGTCACTACATGCTAAGGTCTTCGCTAGAAAATTGAATGGAGAAAATTACCTTGTAGTCTATATTCTTTACTTAGACCTTGAAACTGAACGAGCTGTCACAGTGGCTGATAGTGGCCGTCTAGGATATACAAAACAGATTTTCTAACTAGAGTACAACATCCCAAAATGTATTGGTTCATTTAAATATGCACCCGAACTACACGACTATTCTGAAAAAAAAAAAAGGAATATAATCATTACATTAAACATCTGTTTATTTTTCTGAACACAGAACATTTTTATCTTCGCGGATAACAATACATTATAAATCAACAATGTGTTAGAACAGACAATGTGCTAGTCACTCCAGCTAACAAAGAAGACAGTCCGCTTTCTCTTCAAAGCGACCTAGAATCAGAATCTCCGACGAGGATACACATGGAAATCTAGATATGACACAATCTAATTACTGAACGAACTACCAAAATATGATTCCAGTGAGCCAGATAATCTCTCGCAACTCAGTCCGACGTACCTACGTTACAAAATTATTATAATAGGCTAACAACCTACCCATAACAACGTGTTACACACACATACTTATATATATATATATATATATATATATATATATATATATATATATATATATATATATATATATATATATATTAGACGTAATTACCAGTTTGGAAAGAATGTTGTACAATCCCAATCTCGCACTAACTTGCCCTACATATTGCAGGGGGGTATTTGAGTCCAGCTGTAGCCTTGTTTTCTGCCGGAGCCACAGCCTGTTACGTCAGCTGGGACAGCATCATGTACATATACGGTAAGGTCTTTGTCCTTCAGTCCCTGTTTGTAGTATTTTTTGGCAGAGTGTTTTACAAATTAAGTAAAGTAAAGCAAAGATCCTTTTCACCCCTTTAGGCGTATCGAGCATATGGAAAGAGCACCCATATTTTTTACAGACCAATCGGCACTAGATGGGTAATGTAGTCAGAATTGCGCCGACTTTATTTTACTTCCCCAGAACATCTTGGTACTCAATTTAGGTTAGGTCGACCTGCGACCCCCCATGCCATGATACAAATCAACGCAGCCAGCAGTGGGTTTTGATCGCGGCCCGTTGGAATTACGAATCATAATCGCAATGCCTAGTCTACGGACGCCGCTCAGTGTGTTTTATTTTAGAGAACACGTGCTAATGCAAGTATTATTCAGATAAGTATATAGGCAGCTTTTGAAAGCTTGCATAAAATTCGAAGCTCTAAATTATATAGTTTTAGATGACCATGTTACGTATTTTAGGTGTCCAATATTATTTTAGTTATAATATACGCCAGTAAAAGTTAAAGAACCAATAAAGATTAAAAAAAGAAGAAGTTAAATGCATTCGAAAACACATGCCTGTAAAAAATTTAAATTTAAAATGGGTTGAATTCAAGAGGAGTGAAGACAGAATAGAAATGTCTAGGCAACCACTAGTGTCAACAGTTATAAAACAGAGAAAATGGCGCTATATTGGACAAATCCTGAGAAGAGGCGAACAGAGAATCACCAAACAGGCACTGCAATAGGAAATAGAGGGACTGGGAAAACAAGGACATCCAAGAGAAATTCCAAGGCGAACGCAGATGAGAGAGGCCAAAGGTGCTGGGCTGGTTCCATCCATGATATTGATGCGATTGCACGGATAGAAGAGAATTGAGAAACAGACTGCGAGATCAATGTGACATATAATTTACAACTGATCAATGAACAAATGAGTGAATGAATGAACGAATGAATGAGGATATACGCAGGATTTTGGATGCTTTGTCACTGTGATGATGGCTCTTCTTTCCTCCTTAGCAACAAACCCGAACACACACCCGCCCCTCTTTCCCCATGTATTTGTGTTGATTTGTATCTTTGTGAAACTGTTAATCTTCTTTTAGTGAGTGATGTGAAGGACACTGTAGGATTCACATCTATCCTCACCTTACTTTCCGTGCCAGCACGTGAGTTCCCATCGCGAATGCTCCTAAGTGTTTCCTTCTACAACAGCACACTGAGAAATTCTAATGTTGCCGCACAATACCAACACGGAGAGGATAGCGGCTTGTGAAGAGCTAACTCGTAGACTATTATTCCGTGTGAGTTTCGCAGCGCCAATTTTGGAGGTTCGGAAAAGATAGGTTAGGGTGGGGTGGGGGGGGGGGGGGGTGGTGGAACTGACCAATTGTTATCCAACAATCACGAGGGAAGTAGAAGGTAATAGAAAGAGAATGAAATAATGAGACCGCCGGACATAAATATTGATAGACGTTGATGAACTGCCTCGTTTGGTTCACCAGTACAATTCTTATTGGGATTTATTAAGCTTCGAGGCTCGTGCTTTGTAATATCCTGCTGCATTGTAGTAAGACGAGAGGCAATTAAAGGCTAAGAAAGGTCAAACCAGAAAAGTTCCTGTCTAAACAGGATATACAAACTCACATACCTGACCAACAGTTCAGTGCAACTGAGCAACAGTTCAGTGCACTGACCAAAACTTCACTGTAATTGACAGCACTCTACAACTCAAGTAACAGTTCACTGTAAATAAGCAAAAGTTCAGTGCAAATGACAGTTCATTGTGACTGAGCTAAAGTTCAGTGTGACTGAGGAACAGTTCGCTACAACTGACCAACAGCCAACAGCAATTGAAAACCAGCTCACTACAACTAAAGAAAAGCCCTCTGCAACTGAACAACAGTTCAGTGCAGTTGACCGAACGCTCACTGCAGCTGGACAACAGTTCAGTGGAATTTACCAAACGCTCACTGCTACTGACAAACAGTTCACAATAACTGACCAAAGTTCACTGCAAATGACCAGCTGCTCACTACAATATAACAACAATTCAGTGCAATTTACCAGACACTCACTGCAACTGACAAACAGTTCACTGTAACTAACTAAAGCTCACTGCAACTGATCAAAGCTCACTATAGCTTCACAACAGTTCAGTACAATTATTATAGGAGTGTTGCAGTTTGAAAGGAACACCGATTAGCCCTACCCATAACACCCCTATAATAGTGGACTTCCCGGGGAACTCCGAGATTCCCTGTGCTTGCGGTGAATACAAAATTAAAAAAACAAAAATTTGTCATAATATAATATTAAAAATAACAATAATAATGCACTGAATAGAGGAAAATATAATAATAGGTGCTTTCTTAATATCCTACCCCAAACAGAGGAAATCCCCAGGTCACGGGACAGTCTAGTATTTCAGGGGTGATAGATAAGCGGCAAGCAGTCGTGGGACCTAGGCTGCATGCAGTCATGTGACCTAGGCTGCACTTTCTCTCGGGACGTAGGTGGGTCGGTGTTAGGTTCAGTTCTAGATGTTTTGGGGTCGATAAACGCATCAGAAAGCCGGAAAACCCAGTCTTACCACCCTCTAAAATATTGGACTGTCCTGTGACGTCATCTAAGTGCTAGGAAATTACGAAAGACGTAATAAAACATTTTTAAAACGTCGTATTACAAACACATGCTTGAAAAGAGAAAACATAGCTGGGTTTGAGTATAAGGGAAAGTTTAGTATTCTTCAAAATTCAGGGGGGGGGATCCTGACTGCCATCACTCCGCAAGCTATGGGAGCATCAATGGGCATTAGCCCCTAAGTGTTAGTGCTCCCGACTGAACATAATATTCATTGTTGCAATACAATATAACTTCCTGAGAGGTGTCAATTAGTACTCGCAAATGTAATCTTTGCTGTAGTAAAATCAAACTGCACAAGGTCAGTCAGTGTCACTCCACTTAGTCGTTTCTGATGTAAAAAAAAAAAAAAAGACATCTTTCCTGAAGCCTGTTTGATTGAAATCATTACTACCCTGCTGTAAATAACTAGAGGGGGAAGAAACAATCACGTCTGCAGTAAACCTGTGATTGTTTTGATTGTATGTGTGAATGATTTCCGTCATATAATTCGATAACCTAGGGACTTGATCTGCAACAAAAGAGCATTTACATGGTTATCTCCGATCTGGTCAACCGTAATAGAGGGGAGATCATTGAGCTGCAATTGACTCGACTTCAGTGACTGAAACTACACATGCACATTTCCTTCCCTTGAGTCAACAAGGATCTCTCAACATAGGCGCATGAACCTGGGAGCTTATGCTCCGTTGCTCCCCTCCGGGTTCTTTTATTATATTTCACCTTATCTCAGCGACTCCGAGAATTCTTAAGGAATTACCCGGAAAGCCAATATTATATGGGGGTTAGTCGGTGTTAGTCGGTGTTTATTTCGCACCTTATTGCCCCAATAATATTAAATTTTTCCGAGAATTCCATTCGAAATCTCCGGGTTATGTCATGTGACCTAGTCATCTCCTTGTGAGATGCAATTTTTCGTTATGTTGAAGCCCCACCCTGGCTCTTGCCAGGGACCGCAATATAGCCCGACCATAAATATGGTCTAATGACAGAACGCGGTTTCTGGGACCTCTCCACGGGTGATTCTCATCCGCATGGTGGCACTTTGTGTCATCGGGTGTTTATCGCTTGTGTGATGTGCTAGTGGGGTATAAAATCTACTCTAGTTATGTCATCTTTTCATCTCTTTTTGGGATGCAAGTTTTCGTTATTTGAAGCCCTACTCTGGCTCTTGCCAGGGGCCGCAGTATATCCTGACCATAATTATGGTCTACTGGTTGAACGCGGTTTCTGGGACCTCTCCACGGGTGATCCTCATCCACATGGCGGCACTTAGTGTCATCGGGTGTTTATCGCTTGTGTGATGTCCTGGTGGGGTAGTCAGTCAGTCAGACTTCTGACATGGAGTTCAGCCCAGCATTGTCTGCCTCTCATAAAAATGTTCTTCTTAATGTTTCCCTCAGACGTCTTCTTTTTCTCAGACCGCTCGTTTGCCATTTCAGTGTAACTTGTAATTCTTAGCTCATTTCATCTCAGAGTGTGCCTAATATATCCACACTTTCTTTGTCTTATTGCAGTCGATACAGATATTTGTCTAGACATTTTTCTGATCTCACTCGGTGTTTTTTTTTTTTTTTTTTTTTTTTTTTCATCCCATTTTATGTTCACAATTTTTCTCAGGCATTTATTTTCAAATGCATTTAAATTTCATTTCCATATCTTTGATTGTTTTCAAACGTTCGCTGTCATGTGTTACAATTGAAATAACATTAGAATTTAGTTTGTAATTTTGTCTTAAAGCTGTATAACTTGGAGCTCCATATTTTTTTAAGGCTTTTAAAGTTGTTGCTTTGTCAATCCGTATCATCATTTTCTCTGTTGCATCTCCTTGAGAGTCAAAATTGATACTTTAATAGATGAAATGTTCCGTTACTAAAGCTATGGAATTATCTTTATTGGTGAGAAATTATTGTTTAGTTTCTGTCTTTGCAGAGGATAGTATTCCACTATGCTATATAAAGGCATGGAAAGCTCTGCACATGGCAATACCAAACAAGACCAGAGATGAAGTTTGTGTTTTTCAGGGATATTCAACTGGCGGCCCGCGGGCCTAATCTGGCCCGCCAAGGCCTAGCAAGTGGCCCGTGGATAAATTCTAGCTGTATTGTATTTTCGATCTTTCTATGCTGGAGCTGAAGCCTCTGGCCCTTGACGATCCCCGTTTTTGAACATTTTGGCATCTAAGCCAACTTAGTTGAATAGCCCTGTCCTACATCTTAAGATGGCCCATCCACCATGTGTCTGGTCTCCAAGTGAAGGACACTGTAGGATTCACATCTATCCTCACCTTACTTTCCGTGCCAGCACGTGAGTTCCCATCGCGAATGCTCCTAAGTGTTTCCTTCTACAACAGCA